CTGCTGATGTTTACAACATTAAATCAAACTCTTATCGAGTTCATCCCTGCACTCTATTTATTTTGGACCATCACTGATACAGTATGTGTGTGTGTATATTTATAGGCATGCATGCGTGTATCTGTGTGTATATATATGTGTCTGTGTGTATGTATAGAAGAGTTATGATCCTTCAGTATTATCCATTACAGTTAGCTCCGTGTTTCCTGTCATCATACTCCAGAGTATTTCCAAGCACTGTTTGGCCAGCACAGCGTTTGAGTTGGCTGCCTTCAGTACGAAGGTTCACAAAATACTGATTAAAGGCTCTGCCTGCCTTCGTGGGCAGGGAGGACGCGAGAGACATATGCTTGCAGTATGTTAACAAAGAACCGTCCAAAAGGAAATTTACTGGTTTTGTCTTTGTTGGAGGTTTCTATCAAAGCTTAGAAGTGGTATGGCCAGATAAATTGCTGTGATAGCTTTGAACCCAGATAGAAAGCTAAAATAAATCAGGTACTATGAAATAATATTTGATCGTTAGATTAGACTCTTCTCATGTGCGGGGCCAGATTTGTTATGGTTATTCATGAGAAATATCCTGCTTAGCTTCAGTGGAAGTATTTGTGATGCAGAGTTGTCAGATTGTGGCCCTTGGTATCCAGTTCTGTGTATTGAGACACTTACATATGTACAACTGGATGTAAGACCAGCTTCAACACAAGGTTCCCCAAACCATTGTCAGTACGTAGCTGCTTTCAGTTGCTGCAAAACAGGGACCCCGAGAGAAAAGCCAGATTCCAGTTAGGCTAATCAATCCTTGCTCAGTTCTGGGTGATGCTCAGCATGATAACAGTTCATACATTATTCCAACTTGTTAATTTTCTTTTTGTATACATGTGTGGTAGGTAGAAGTAATGTCTTTTACTGGGCCAACTGGTACCGTTGGTAAAAACAAGCTTCAGTGCTGACAGTTAACTATGAAGCCAAGAACTATTGCTCAGGGTTTGACTAGATATGCATCAGTTTGATCAGCTCTGAGAGAGAAGATGGCTGTTTCTCAGGGAAAATGGAGCTGATTCCTGTAGGAGAAGGGTATGTTGTGCTGGAAAGGGAGGAAGAAAGAAAAGTGCTAAGATACTTTTTTTTTCATAAAAGGAAAAGCAAGATGGTTTATAGCCTGTGGACGTGGAGAGTTATGGGAAGGTGGAAGGGTGATTATAACATGTTCTAAAACCAGTATGTCTGTTAAATTCCATGCTTTATTTTCTCCGCATGGGAACTAAAGTTCATGATTAAGTACATTCAGCTCAGATGTAATGATGCTCATTATACTGATCTTGGGGTGGGTTTGTGCGCCTAAAAGCTTATCTAATTTTTCAGACTCTAACCACTGACCATACAAGAGGTATGACTTCTGCCTGCTCACCTCCACCTCTCTTACCTGTGTCCTTAAACCACCACATCTCCAGCAAAACACCAACAGCAAATAGATGTTAACATTTCTTTTGTTTTTGTAGAAGTAAAACTATACTAGAAACACTGTTATGTCATGAATATTTTATAAAAGTTTGAAGATCTTCCAAGGCAAAATACAGTATAAAAGCGGAGTCCTCATGTTACAGCATTGCACCGTTAACAGAATAGTTCCTCAAAGGTGTCTTGGAGAATGATCCTACAACCAGCTTTGGCAGCCAGGGCTGTGTTTTGGGCCACACCGTTCCGCATACCAGCATGTGTTTGAACGGATCCTGCTGTGCTAAATTAGCCCCAGCACTGCTGTTATTTTTCTCTGACTGAAAACTAGCATCTGCAAGGTGTTAATGCTGCTGGGGGAGACTTTAGATGTAGGATGATCCCCATCACTGTAGTATTTGAGGGCTTCACAGTGTTCATCCCCTTGTAAAGTAAACAACTACTGTTCTCCATGTTTGGGAAACACCCAAATACCAAGACTATTTTTCTGGAGTTACCAGAATTGCATAATCAACATACAGTTAGTGGTGGTAGAAGACAGTTTATGAATTATTGGAACCAGCAGTTTCTTATAGAAACCACCAGCATTTCAGAAAACTATCCCTAAACTCAAAAAAAATACATAGCCTGTATTTGAGCTACATGCCCAATGAAAAGTTTCATACAGCAAAAATGGATTTGCAAATCCTCGTAGAGTCTGGCAGGAAAGACCTTCCGGAAGAGCTGACAAGGGTGTCATACCCCAAGAACTTGGTCTGCCCGTGTTTCCAAAATAAAATTTGACAAGAGGGAAACATGATCTGTGCTTATACAGCTTGTTAACAAACTTGTTCACAAAGCAAAATGCTTCATTAGCTTTGGAGGAAAAAAGTTCCTTGCCAATGTAAGTAAATTTTCTCTTTGCAGCTTGGTCTTTTCGATCAGTTACTGAACAGATACTTCGGCTTGTAGCTGTCCACATATGAAGCATCTGGCTTAATTCGGCAGATTTGTAGTATGATGGTCAGCACTCCCAGCTGGTTCATGCTGAGGACACCTGCCTTCACCAAGGAGTGGTCCTCAGAGAGAGCAGAGCGCTCACAACATTTTGGAGTGATTGTAGGGCCTGTCTGCACCAAAAGGCTGAGTGGGGGCAAGGCGAGTGTGCACAAATCTGCACATGCTTGTGCGCCTAAGCTAACAAGCTGTGCAAGGCACGCAACACAACTAGGGTCTTCTCAGGCTGCCGAGTCATCTCTTCATAGAAGTGACCTGGAGGCAGTAAGAGATGCTCTGTGTCATGGCATTTGGGTCATGTAGGTGTGGCTGCGGTAAAGCTGTAGGAGCTACTTCACATGATGATTTCATGCTAGAGAAATACAAAAAATGCACTATATGGTGGGTGCAAGGCCAGGTGGGCTCTGTGTCCATCTGAGAGTATATACTGCATGGGATCCGTCAGGGTCTGTGCTGGGCCTGGTAGTATTCCCTACAAGGGACAGAGGATGGAGCAGTGAACACAGTGCTTAACCTAGATGCTTGCTCACCAAGCTTTTAGCTGCCTGGCCTCATTTGGGAAATCCATACCAACTTGCCTAACTGTTAGTGGGAGAGGTGATCAGAAGGAAACCTCTTCAGAGGAAGATCTGAAGATCTTCCAGTTCTCAGTCAAACACCTCTCGTTTATCAACAGCACAGGGACCCAAGAGAGGATGTCAGGTGCCATTTGGGAACTGTGCTTTGCTCATGGCATCAGTTCTTCTGTCTACTGGAGTTAGAGGTTATGTGGCAGTAGCAGTCAGCCAAGTGCCCTTCCCGGTTGGAGGTGGGCTACCCAGAGTAGGAATCCTGCTCCTTCCTGCCCACAGTCCTGCTGGCTCCAGTACTCTTGAATAACCCAACATAGATAGCTCGGTTGCCACAGGATGGGATGGGTGGGTCTCCACTCTTCGGAGATGGGGCTTTAGTCTCTCACCTTACTCCCAAAAGCAAGTAGTTCATCTCATTTCTCTCACATCTTGGGTGAGTGTTGCCAACAGGAAGGAGGGGAACAATTCGGAGGAGACTGGTTCCAGAGAGCACTTTTTAGATGTGCCATTGAAATGAAGGTAGGAAAAGCTTTGAAGAACAGGGTTACAGTTTTGAACGACCTGGGCAAAATGAAAGCGATGTCTCGAATCCATGGGACACATAAATGGAAACAGCAGGCTGGGGTATGTAAGCAGAGTTTCATCTTTTAAGAAACACAAAGCAATGCTGCCATTCCGCTGCCTTAGTTGGAAACCAGTGAACACTTCAGGTACCGCCTTCTAAGGAAGATGTGGACTCGTTGGAGAAAGTCCAGAGAAGCTCACTAGATCAGAGGATTAGAAATATGAGTTATGAAGAAGCAGTGAAAGAATCAGTTTGTTTAGTCTAGAGAAGAGAAAATGGAGAGAAGACATGATAACAGTTTTCAAATATGTGAACGGTTGCTTCAAAGACAAAGGGAATAAATTATTTTTCATATCTTCTGGGAGATAGTGGGGCACTGGAATGGGTTGCCTGATGAGTCTTCATCTTTTGGAGATATTTAAGGACTGGTTAGACAAATATCTGTGAAAATTATTTTGATAGAGCTGGAGTGGGGGAAAAGACTGCTGAGAACCCCAGACCCTCTAATTATTTTATTGGAGGTCCACAGACTGGGAGGCTCTGTGTCTGATAGATTCTCAATTTCTTATAATTTTTTGTTGCTAATGGACATTGGGTTTCTACATTGTGGCTAAAAAATTTGTTTCTGAAAGCATCATGTACAACGTAGGAGGCAATCTGTGCTTCCTGGCTTCACCTACATTAGATAGCACTAATTACCCCAGCACATGGCCCAACATCAGTTCACTATGGTGCCTAGTCTTCCAACAGATCTCATGCCTTGAGGCGTTAAAAGAATCAATAAAATTCCCTTGAAATAATTGTGTTTACTGGAGATTTGAATGTCTTTATCTGTCTAAGAAACTGTGCAAGATCAGTGAAGTTATCAGGTCAAGTATTGTTCAGTGTAAGTTATTTGTGCAGCCTGTGCTGCTTCAGTGAGCGTCCATGTATCTGCTTCACTGTAAATCTACATTAATCATGATGAATGGCTATGTACATTGCAGGGAGGCAGGAAAATCTCCAGTGCAAACGGAAATCAGACAGGTTGGAGTGGCTCTGGAAGCTGCTGCACGGCGGAGGCTGAAGTAGTCTCAGCCTGTTGATGTTAAATCTTTAGATGTAAAGGGAAAAAAAAAGATGGAATCTTTTCATCTAGGGCTGTAATGGTGACAGCAAGGAGCCGTGCGCCAACAAAATAAGGTCGTACCACTTTGTAGCTGCCAGACCCACAAGCCTTATCTACGCTTGCTTTTATGGCCTCAGATTTTCCACCACTGCTGCCAGCACAAACAGCGGTGGGAAGTTTGAGCCCTCATGTGAATGAAACCATCATCACTGCAGGAGCAATCACACCTTGAACCAACCAGGAGACGAAGAAAGAGTATTCAAGGAGAGGAACAGTTCTCTTAACACTTGTCTGTCTGTTTCAGGATCGCTGGTGATACAGCACTCAACAAAAACATCCATGAGTCAGTCAGCGCTCAGATCCGGAAGAACTTTGCGAAAAGCAAATGGAGAGTAAGTGGCCCATCCTCAGGGATGACACTTAGACACGTAACTCTGCGAACGCCGCCCTTTCAGCATGCTTTTGTGGCACAAAATTTTGGTCAAAATACTTGATCTAGACTTAGGTTATATGTCCCCTGCAGGGCCTTTTATAGAGGATGCTACTCACCGAGTATATCAATATAATGAGCATGGGAGATGGGACTGGGGCTGCTAACAGCTAAAGCACCCGTGGTTATATGTGGATTTGGGATCAGCATTGCAGGGGGACATGAAGCAACGCAGACACCCTCTGTGTTGGTACAGGGAAGGATGTGTCAAATATTACTTTCCTTGTAGGCTGCCACATCCCAGTGGAGTGCTAGAAGGGGAGCAGGACCAGGGCAGAAATGCATGTGGTTTGATGTTGCCGTTTCTAGCTTAGAAACTAGAAATTGGGAAAAGTTTGAAAGATAATGGACTCATTCACTTCTGAGAACTCTGAGCAGCCAGGAAAGGAGCAGAAAACCACCTCCAATTTTTTTATTCTTTCTTTCTTTCTTGTGTTTTTATTGCTCCAGCAAGCGTTTAACGCCACAGCGGTCGTGCGACACATGAGGCGGTTACACCTCGGCAGCAGCCTGGACAGCGCGAGCACCAGCGTGTCGAGCACCCTCAGCCTCGCCGCGCCGCTTCCCGACGCAGCCACCCGGAAAGATTGTGAGTAGCTGACATCCCAGCAAAGCTCCTGCCATGGCAGCTGAGCAAATTTGCGGGATCCCTATTTTCTCCTTCACCCCCAGGCTGCAGTCCTCGCCGCCAGTAGGGTCGGCTTTGTCCAGGGA